TTCCCAACTTTTCACTATCTTAACAAGAGTAACCATGACATTTTAAGTACAAGTGATCAAAGAAGTAATTAAAAGACATTACTTTTATTTCTTGTATCTTCTTTTCTTTCTTTCTAACAGTTTGGTACTTATCTACTTGAAATAATAAGTACTTATACTCTATTATTAGGAAACAACTGCTGACATTTCTATTTGGGGCTGCAATGACAATGATACACTGAAAATATGAAGTCACCTTAAGAAATAACCAATATTTGGGGCTGGCAGGTGGTGTGGTGGTTGGGGACACTGGGCTCCCACATGGCCGACTGTGGTTCAAGTCTCAGACCTGGAGGTTTGCTTTCTCACTTTCTCTCCCCTCTCTGTTTCTCTCTGGAAATATTTTCTTAAAAAATAATAAACAGGGAGCAGCAGTTAGCGTAATGGCTGTCGCTGGACTCCCATGTAGTCAACTGGTTGGCATCCTGTACTCAGTGACTTAGAACTCACGCCGGGCACATGTGTGTGTGTGTGCCCAAGATCCCGAGAGGAGAATGGAGAAGGGATTGCGGTGTGGCCCTCCCCCCGGGGGGTGATTTCTCGCTTTCTGTCTGTCTGTCTCTGTCTGGCCAGTGCATATGCCCTATAGCAAAAAAAACAAAAACAAACAAACAAACAAACAAACAAAGAAAAATATCCCCCCCTAAAATATGGTTAAATAAAATAATCCTAAAAAAAAGAAGAAATAAGCAAAACTAAATTGGTATGTCTGATTTAAAACAATTATCATTTTTCTTAATTTCTTCAAATATTTTGGTTGGGTTAAATTAAAAACAATTCAGGGATGCTGGTGTAATAATTCTTTTGTTGGGGAGGGATGTTGGACAATCTCAGTGGTTACATAATAATAACAGATGACTTTAATCTGTTAGTTTATGTTTCATAAAGAAAAAAACAGTTTGAGGCAACTAATCTATGTAAACAACAATCATCTTTTGAACTTTACTTTTAAAAGCTACCTTCTTGGGTCATAAATATTTTAGGAAGTGGAATACAACTTCTAAGCTGCGCTAGAGATGCCTCTGCAACATTATTTTACTCACTTTAAAAGAGGCTGGAGAACGGGGGAGGAAGAGTGTTGTGGATGAGCCTGTTTAATGCTTCCTATCATATCCGGTATTGCTGGGTTTTGAAAAGCTTAGGCAGTGCAATGATTAGCATTCTTGTGATTGTCCCTGCTACTCCTCCAATGTTCTCATTGTAGTTTGCTTAGAAGCAAGCCTAGAGTTTTTTGTTCTGAAGTGACAGCCTGCCTTTTTAAAGCTGGATTCGGTCTGATTCCTTCAGCAACTCTACCAGCCTGTGGTGGGGAATACCACCCAATAGTTTTATAGGATGTTAAAAAATGGTGGAAGGTAGAGGAGCGGGGTGTGGTGATGGCATGTGAAATACAAAATTGATGCTTTGGGCAAACATTCCTTTAAAAATTCCTGACAAGCTCTCTTCGGCTTTGGTGGATTTTTGAAAAAAGAAAACAGAACAAAGCAAGCTCTCTTCGAGATCAAAAGCAGATAAAAACACTACTTTCTTGACAGGCAGTAAGTCTGCCACTTTTCTTCGTAAACGATGCCTTTAATGTTTAGTGCTGTCGTGATAGTTTCCTGTTGCTGCTGCAGGAAATCATCACAAGCTCAATGGTTTAAAAAACATGCATGCGTTCTCTTACAGTTCCAGAGGCCAGAAGTCCACAGCTAGTTTTCACTAGGCCAAAATCAAGATGTTAGCAGGACTGTGTTCCTTCTGGAGCCTCTAGGAGATAAACTGTTCCTTTCCTTGCCTTTTTCAGCTCCTAGAGGCCTCCTGCATTCCTTGGCTTGTGGCCCCTTCCTCCATCTTCAAAGCCTGCAGTGGGGCATCTTCTCTTCCCTCTGATCTCTGTGTCTGTCATACACCATCTTTCTCTGACTTCCTGATCTCTCTTTTCAGAACCTGTGATTATTCCAGGCCTACCCTGACAATCCAGGATAACATTCTCACTCTCAATAACCTTAATTTAGTCACATTTGCAAAGTTCCTTATATGTTCACAGGTCCCAGAGATTAGGAAGTGAGTATCTTTGAGGATGATCGTTAAGCCAACCGCAGCTGGCATGCACTCAGTCTTTAACTTTGTAATTCTCTGTATTCTGTTTTAGATAAAGTAGATGGCTTAAAAGCTAGGCACACTTAAGAGTCACTTTCTTAGAATTCCATTGTTAATTACATGGAATCAGTTGTCACAGAAAATACAACTAATTTGAATTTCAACACCCCCCCCAGTGGTTTTAAAAAATGGTCTGACTTGTGGTTATATTACATATTAATATGGTTCAAATCATGAAGAATAGAATGCTTTTAAGGATAAGATATAAGATAAAAAAATCTCCTCAAAGCTTTTCTTTCCATTCCTGATCTGAACTCATAATAAGAGGTGGAGACTATTCATGTGAGTAACTGTGAGATGGGACTGAATCATTTTCTTTCTTCTTTCCCCACAGAAAACTACTATAATATTCAAAAACATTCCTTTTAAATACGATTTGGAATTGTACAACAGTGTATTACCAAAAATTATTCGTGCATATTCCATACACAAGGGGACTTTAGCAGCTCATGGAAAGTAGAATTACAGTATAAATTCATTTTGATGCAAAAAATCCTGAAATTCATGCAGTTTCTTCATAATACAAATTATTCATGAACTTTTTTTTTAAAGGTTTTTACCATAGGGTGTGTGTGCTTGCTGGAGAGAGAGAGAGAGAGAGAGAGAGAGAGAGAGAGAGAGAGAGAGAGAGAGAGAGAGAGAGAGAGAGAGAGAGAGAGAGAGAGCGAGAGAGAGAGAGAGAGAAAGCGAGATATGACCCCCTCACAAGAGCCAAGCCACCATCTCCTCTCCTACAGTTTCCTCTTGGGATTTTGGGCATGCACACACGTGTCCAGTTTTAAGCCCGTGGGTTGGGGACTCAAACTCCAGTTGGTCATGTGGTAGTCTAGCACCTTCATCACCACTCCACCTGCTGGCCCTTTCATGGACTTTTTGAAGACCCTTCATACTTATTCTCTGCTAGTAGTTGACTCAGAACTAGTTGACGTTTACCCAGTTGGCACTTACCCTTTCAAAGTATAAAAGATATACATCAAAGCTTCTAAATTAGCAATACTCATAAAATACTTGAACTGTTACAGAGTATCACCAGCCTTACTGACACCATCATCGGTGAGCAGACAATCCTGCTTTGGAAAGAGTACCCCATTTGACTTTGAAAAACCACAAGATATACCTTCTTAATGACACTACTTCCTCAACACTTTCATTCCACTCTGTTTCCCTCCAGTTCAATGGCATACCCATAGCCTTGCTAATTACAGTTCCTCATTCTGACTCTGGAGAACTGAAGCCACAACAATAAAGTTTTCTGTATGTATTCTCTAAGACTAGACTCTGAGTTGAGGCTTTCCCTAACGAACATTTTTGCACAGACCAAAGTCCCTACTCTTGGAACTCTTAGGTGGAACCCCTTGTATCAGGGGGGTCTCTGAATGGGTCTGGCTGGTGATATATGCCTGGAGCCTTTCTATGACTTTGCGATACTAAAGATGTATATTAACAGAGAGAAGCGTGAACTTGAATATTCACATGCAATGCATAATGCGCCTTGTTTTCAAAGAAAGTACAAGTAAGAAGTTCAAAATACCAGACCCTATCTAAGATATCCAAAGTTTCTGCACATAATGAACAAAATATTCCATTTAAAAATCATGCCACAAAAGAAATGAGGGTGTGTATAGTGATAAATCTGACAATTTACCATAGTTACCATTTAGAAATACTTGGCCCTTAAGTATACTTTTTGTGTAAAACTAAGGTATGTATAAAGATTTTTTTTTTAGTTTTACAAATTAAATAGCAGAATAAAACTTTTATAATCAAATACTATATATTTAAAATTTAGATAATTATATTTAAACCTATGCCAGGATCTAAAGAAGTATGAATAAATGACCAGGGTAGCTGTTACATACAAATTCAGTTTTTTTTTTTTAAAGAGAGATTTTTGCTATAGGTTGTGTGTGCTTGCTAGAGAGACAGAGAAAGTGAGAAATTAACCTGGGGGTGTTAGGGTGGTCATGCCATAATCCCTTCTCTTCTCGGGATTTTGGACATGCATGCACATGTGCCAGTGTGAGTTTCAAGCCACTGGGTCCAGGACTTTAACTATGGTCGGCCATGTGGAAATCCAGTGCCTTAACAACTATGCTACCTGCTGGCTACCATAAAAACTATATGAAATGTAAATACCTAGTGTATTATACAAAGTACTGTAATAAATCTCTGCATTAGGCATTTGATTATTTGTAAATCTTCAAGTTTCTAAATTTAAATCTAAAATACCATGGTCATAGTCTACAAACTGGATTTGGCATAGTCAAGATTTCAAAATATCATACAGAAAATATGAGTGACTAAGTGGTTTTTCAGAATTTAGTAACCATCTTTTAAGATAAATTCACAGATTTTTTTTTAAGCTTCAATTTGATTTCACAAAAATTGAGTAAGGACAATCCAGCCTAACAAGTTATCTTTAAAATTCAGTTTCCAAGGCAACAATCATAGGGCCCTGTACATTCCTTTTTAAAAAAAATCATTTTTGTAAATTTAGTTACTGCAACAGCAAAGGCAAGTATTAAATATAACTGCCTTACTTTTATCTCCTTTTGTCAGACTTTTTCAACAAGCTGACTTCTCTCTTTTCAATGGACTAAATTAATACCAGATCCTAATCTGCTGTCCATCAAGCCCAAGAAGGCTTATGGGGAGATAAAACACCAATTTCCCGAGTGGATGCCTGAGACTCCAGTCTGCTGCATGTGTGTAAGAGCAAACCAGGATCCAGTCTATTGCATAAGAGCAAATCTCTAAACTACCTTCCTCCTGTTAACTTCATAACCGACTCACTCCAGAGAGAAGGGAAGAACGCTCACCGGCACACTTCACTCCCTGAGCAATGAGACCCCACATGAAGTTGGCACAGTATTCACACCAGTGTGGCCCTCTGAATGTATGGACCTGAAAAAGAAGAGAGGCACAGGAGGGTGAGGAGGAATATGTGGACGAGGAGACCGCTTCCTATCCAGGCGCGAATACAAAAGCCACAGTTAGTACTACAGAAGCAACATGGCTACACGTAGGAGAATCTGGGCTGGGATGAAATGACAAACAGTTAAAAGATCTTTCAGAGCTTGATCTCTTTTTCTCTTATAGAAATGGTGATAAATCAAACCAATATTCTGCAATTTACTTTTGAGAACAATTTCTACACTGGAGTTTTCCAACAGGTCTCCTCAGGCACAAGCAGCTTCATCTCTGTTACAGGTACTGGCATGTCTCACTGCTATGACATGAGAGATAACAGTACAGAGCGTATCTTAGGGTCTCTAAGAATTCTGTAAGATGACCCACCTGTGACCATTAGTATCAAAAATATTAAATATGACACTTACTGATGGTCATAACCAAATCATCAAAAAAAGCAATTACTGTTCAAAACAGAAAATGTCTGATGCCATGTTACCATAGATAATAAATACTTTTTAAAAACTGTAAAAGCTACTACAGTTGATCAGAAATCCTGTTTGAGTAATAAAGTTACTAATCATTCCAGCTAATAAAAGTTATTTTATTGCATTCAATTCCTTTTTTCTCTGAGGAAGAAGGAAATCCCCAAAGAAGAAAGGATTCAAATGCCAAGATACCTCTAGATTTTTATGCATAGGAAAGAGTAGGTATCCTAGCCTAACTCACAAGAAGAATACTGGTAGAAACAGAAGCAATGAATCCAAACCCCAAACATTAAAAAATTAAAGGGCTGGTGAGGCGCATTGTGGTTAAAGTGCTAGATTCCCACATGGCCGATTGCGGTTTAAGTACCAGACCTGGCGGTTTGCTTTTTCACTTTCCCTTTCTCTGGTCAAATTAAAATAATAACAACAATAATAACAAATGGAGTTAAATAAATAAATAATTCTTAAAAAATAAAAAAAAGCTTAATTATTATCATTACCGATTTAAAAATTCTGAGCAAATATTGACTGAAAATGCATTCAAGAAGTAAAAAGAAACAGAAGGTACAGGACCTACTTATCTGTATCAAATTAGAATTCCTTGAGATGATTTTATACACACATACACGCACACACACAAAATTTTCTCTTGAAGAAAATAGTAAGAGTGCAAATCACAAAGCATGACAATTTGATTTCAAAACAAACATCTGGCAAAACAGCTACTGCAAATAATAATTCACAGTTAGAATTGTTATTATAATTTTTTTTTAATTTTGCCAGAGGGCATGTGTGCTTGCCAGAGAGAGAACATGAAAACACTCCCCACGGGTGGATGGTTATGCTGCAATCTGTTCTCCTCCATTCCTCCCTCTTTGCAGGATTTTGGGTATGCACTCACATGCACCTGTTGTGTTCTTCTCAAGCCACCGGATCCAGACTCAAACCATGTTGTCAGCCATGTGGTATTCAGTTGCCTTACGACCATGCCACCAGTTGGCCTTACCATTTTCAGATTAATTTACTGACTAGGTCTTAGAAACCAAAGAAATGGTTACATGTTCACACACACACACACACACACACACACACACACACACACACTTTATTTCTTCAAACTTGAGATGCCACAAATGTAAAATATACCAATACATGTTTCATTTAGAAAAAGTATGTGAACTATGACAAGCCACTGATTGTAAGATAAATCCCAATTCCAAAGACATTAAAATGTCAATATGTACATATTAAAGTAAACAAAATACATCAAAATTCAACATACTCCTATTGCCCCAAACAGCCATATAAGGTGTGGCGGATAACGTCTGGTTTATTCCAAGTAGGTATGTGCTTATGCCTCTGGTTGCTGCCAAGTGAGCTTGAGCACAAAATTTTATGATGATTTTGAAAAGCAGACCATAATCCCATCTATGTCTTTTATGGAAAAGGGTCAGGAATGCAGACCCGATTGCGTCTGGCTTGTTAATGATGTTCAGAGCCTGTAAACTGAAAGTATTTCCTGGAGTTGCTGCAGCAGAGCCCAAGAGCAACGGCCACGTCCTGTGTGACTTGCCTGTGTGTGTCTATGTGCCTCAGAGTGAATGCAACTGGATAAAGCAAGCGTCTTGCTTGACTCTGATAGGAACTAGTGAAAGCCACACTAACTTATAAAAAGTTCTGTAAGCATGAAAAGCTACTTCTAGAGAAAGTCTTCGCGACACCGACTGGCGTAAAGGTTGCCAAATCTCAAGAGAATCCTGTAGCACTAACTTGGTAAGGTGAATAAAAATGGAATAAAACTATGGAGGAAGCCCCAGAAATTCTTTTGTCCCACGATAAACTATCTGAAAATTACATTAAAAAAGCAAAAACAGAGTAAATGGTGTTTTGTTTGCTATTGATTAAAGAAAAAGGCTGTTGGCAAACAGCATTGAGAACTGAGGTGTTACCACAGAACCCGTTCCTCCCCTTCTGAAAGCAGTAGTGGCATTCTGAAAAGAATGGAGATGTTTCGTTTTATTATGTACGCTGAAGGAGGGGTTTCAAATGTCTGAACAGGCCCAATTTTATCTTTTTAAAATCAAAGTATCAGACATGTATCTCAGACAAGAGTCCTTAGAAAATTATTTATATATTTCATTCTTGGACTTTTTTTTTTTTTTTTTAATTGCCAGAGGGTGTATACATTCAGAGTAGGAGGGAGGGAGAAAGCAACTCTAAATGGAGTGTGGTCACACCACAACTCCTTATCTTCCACTTCTCCCTCCTATTGGGATTTAGGGCACACAAGTACACGCAACTTTGTGTTTTTCAAGCCACCAGAGCTGAGAGTTGAACTGCAGTCAGCCATGTGGAATCCAGTTCTTTTAATGACTGGACAAAGGGCTGACAGCCTTTTTTTTTTTCAAAGATTTTTGCCAAAAGGCTTGTGAGGTCACTGGAGACAGAGAGAAGAAAGATGGAAAGTGAGAAATCATTCCCTGGGGGGATGGCCACACAGCAATTTCTCTTCCTCCATTCTCTGCTTAGGGTTTTAGGCACACAGGCACAATGTGATTTTCAAATCACTGGGTCTGGGACTCAAATCGCAGTTGGCCAAATGGGAGTCCAGACTTAACTACATCCTACCTGCTCGCCCCTTGTTTTATTATTTTATTATTATTATTTTTAGGTTTTTACCATAGCTTGTGTGTGTGCATTGGGGAGGGGGGGAGAAAGAGACAGAAAGAGAGAAGGTGAGAAATACCCCCCCACACACCCGAGGGGATGGACATGCACAATCCCTTCTCCCTTCTCCCCTATTCTCCTCAGGATTTTGGCTTCGCATGTACATATGCCTAGCATGATTTTCAAGCTGCCAGGTCTGGGTTTTGAACCACTGCTGGCCACATGGGAATCCAGCACCTTATCCACCACACCACCTGCTGGCTTCTGACAGATTTTTTTTTTAGAGGTTTTTGCTATATGGTGCGTGTGCGTGCCAGACAGACAGAGACAGAGAGACAGAAAGTGAGAAATCACCCCTCAGGGGTGATGGCCAAGCTGCAATACCTTCTCCTCCATTCTCCTCTTGGGATCTTGTGCATGTACGCACACACGCCTGGTGTGAGTCTAAGCTACTGGGTCCAGGACTCGAACCACCGTCGACTACATGGGAGTCCAGCGACATAGCCATTATGCTGACTGCTGGTCCTGACAGCTTTCTGAACAAGACATCCACAACTATTTTGGACTGGGGATTTATTATTCATTTATCAATCATTTAGAAGGCAGCTAATGTGTGGGGATGCTTTCTCACTCTCTCTCTCTGGAGAGCACACACATCCCTTGGCAAAATAATAAACAGATAGATAGTAGCTTATGTAGCTCTCCAAGTAACTGTTCTATAAATAGGCCTTGTAGCATGAGAAGCTGCTAAACTTTTATTTGCATACAAAGCTGGATTGGTTTTAATCTTTTGTATCTAAAATTCACATTTAAGTTTCCTTTGTTTTCTGACCTCTACAACTGCATGACATGGATCGTATTTGTACACAGTTAATTATTACAGTCTTTTTGTCTTTATTCCCCTGGAGGTCATCAAAACATATTGTGTCTTTATTCATTACTTTTATTCATTCATAAACATGTATTAAGTTATGCCATCTACAAAGGTAAGACATGGGCTCAAGGGATTCACAGGAGGTCTCTCCTATTAAACACAGCGTGAAAATGCACTTTGAAAGTGTTTGCGAAGTGTGAGGGGAGCTGTGGGGAGGGGCATTGCTCAGGCTTAAGATGCAACTGATGAGCTGAATCTGCAGCTAGCTGGCTTGCAGGGCAGAATGGGGTGAGTGTGTTGGAGCCTGGTGCACTAGGAAAAGGTTTGTGAGAAGAACTGGGGTGGTTACAGAGTGGCAAGGAGAGTCAGCAAGAGTGGGGGTGGGGAGACTGGCATGGCAGGAGATAAGAAACGCAGACAGGACCTTTTTCAGGCCTACAGCCTTACACTGCACCTGATGAGCAATGTAGGGCCACTGAAAGGTGTTTTAAGGAGTAACAGTCAACGTGGCGTGGCCAGAGGATGACAGACTAGACAGGAAGTTATAGCAGCCATCCAGGTAATGAAGACAAGGATATGAATTTAGGCAGTTGGTGACTGAGGGACAGGGACAAATGAGTTGTTTAGGAGACATACTCAATAGGAGTTGGTCACCCACTGAGTCAGAGGGTAAAGCTGGGGTAAAAATGGGCTACTTGTCGGGGTTTGGGGCCCGAAGATAGCGGAGGATGACTTTAACAGAGGCACAAAGGTAGAGGAGCCAATTTCAAAGTGAGGTGGGGATGAGAGCACAGAGGGAAGGAGGTCGTGGCTGATGGAGCCAAGGTTCCTGAGGGGTCAGATGGAGGGCGATCCAGGGGTGAGCAACTACGTTTGAATATGGAAAATCACTTTCCCCTCCTGAGCTGGGAGAGAAGAGGGTAAGGGGGTAAGGATGGCCGTGCAAGAGTGGCAGGCCTCGGGGT